ACTTGTCTGTAGAATAGGGCAGCCGTTGAAAATTCAGATGTTATCCACTGCTGTTCAAGAACAGGGAGTGTATATTTAGAAATTACAGTACAATGAAGCTGTAGTATGACGTTATACACAACGGCAGCCTGTATTTGCGACCTCCTTCCCTCTGGCCTAGATTCTGACTGCAGTTCTGTCGTGTAACAAGCTGTTTCCTTTTCAAAAGGGATAAGGCTATCTTTCAAGGAAGCGGTCAATGGATGGAAAGTAATCAAGGAGAGAAGCAATCTGGAATTAAGGAGAAACTTCCCAACAGTGAGGACAATTAACCAGTGGAACTGCTTGCCTCCAGAAGTTGTGGGAGCATCATCACTGGAGGTTTTTAAGGAGAGACTGGACAGCCGCCTGTCTGAAATGGTATAAGGCAGTGATGGCTAATCTTTTTGCCATCAAGTGCCAAAAGCGGGGAAGTGCCGGTGGGGGGGGGGTCGCGCGTGCGTGTGCCCACGCGTGCGTGTACCCATACCCATAATTCTATGTGCCCTGCCCCAGGGTGGATTTGATTTAAATCGAGTTGATTTAAATCATGATTTAAATCATGATTTAAATCACTAGTAAAAAGGCTTGATTTAAATCGATTTAAATCATAATTTTTAAAGAGCAACTGTCATCTCTGCTACTCCTTTGACCCACTGTTGACTCACCGATAGTCCCAGTGTTGCAGAATATACAGCCTCGTGCTACATAACTAAGCTCCATTTCATGCTGAATAAACTAAATGATTTATGTATCTTAAATAGAAAACTATCTTACGATAGATTTTTACCCCAAAAGTTTTTTATTAAAATAAATTCGATAAAAATCAAAAAAATCCGATTTAAATAAAAAAAATCTGATTTTTTTGATTTTTTTAAAAAAATCATTGATTTTTATCCACCCTGCCCTGCCCCCTGCGCATGCGTGCACGACCCCCCACAAGATCCCCCCCGCTTTTGGTACGCAATGGCACGTTGGGCCAGGTAGGCCCGTTTTTCGCCCTCCCCAGGCTCCAGAGGCTTTCTAGGAGCCTGGGGAGGGCGAAAACGGCCTTCCCCACCCCCCCGGAGGCCTTCCGGAGGCCAGAAACGGCCCATTTCCCAACTTCCAGTGGGCCCGGAAGGCCCGAAAATCAGCTGGCTGGCATGTGCTTGTGCGCTGGAACTGAGCTAGGGCAACGCTCGCGTGCCCACAGACATGGCTCCACGTGCCACCTGTGGCACGTGTGCCATAGGTTCCCCATCACTGGTATAAGGTCTCCTGCTTGAGCAGGGGGATGAATTAAAAGACCTCCAAGGTCCCTCCCATCTCTATTTTGATTGATTGAATGAATGAATTCACCTAGCCAGTTCTGCAAGGATAACCATTTTCTAAGTTGTGCCTTTCTTTCCGGAAAATTAGATTTTAGATTTTGGTGTTCAGTATTTGGATGGCGTGAGTTGTAGTATATAAGAAAATCAACCAAAATGTTGGTTAAATGCAGGTAGTCCTTGACTTACGACCACAATTTAGCCCAAAATCTATGCTGCTAAGCGAGACATTTGTTAAGTCAGTTTTGCCCCATTTTACGACCTCTCTCGCCACAGTTGTTAAGTGAATCATGGCAGTTGTTAACTTAGTTACTTAGTTGTTAAGTGAGTTTTGGTTTATCCGTTGACTTTGCTTTTTCAGAAGGTCACAAAAGCTTGATCACATGATCCCGGGACATTGCAACCGTCATAAAGGTGAATCAGTTGCCAACTGTCTGGATTTTGACCCCGTGACTATGGGGATGCTGCAATGGTCATACATGTGAAAAATGGCCACAAGTCACGTTTTCCAGTGCTGTTGTAACTTTGAAACGGTCACTAAATGAATTATAAGTCGAGGACTACCTGTAGACTACCTGCCTGAGATTTTAAAATTTTAAAATGATTTTAAAATCATCTTTTTCCAACCCAGCCTGTTTTTTAGTTGATGCATCCTTTCTTTGGAGAAAGCTGTGTCTTTGTGCCCACACGCCTGAGAAATTGTACGTGCATCAGTCAGGAAAAACATGTCATTTTATTTGCTCAGCCTCTGTAAGAAATAATAATAATAATAATAATAATAATAATAATAATAATAATAATAATAATAATAATAATAATAATTTTATTTCTATACCGCCCTTCTCCCGAAGGACTCAGGGCGGTGTACAGCCTATTTAAAAACACAGACAAAACAATATAAAATTTAAAATAATTAAATAAATTGGCTCAGATTTAAAACCCCAAAAAATTTAAATACCCCAATTTAAAACTATTGTGTTGATAGTCCGGCCTGGCGGAACAACAGGGTCTTCAATGCGCAGCAAAACACCCGGAGGTTGGAGATCTTACGAATTTCCGGGGGCAGTTCGTTTCACAGGGCTGGAGCTCCCACAGAGAAGGCCCTCCCCCTGGGTGTCGCCCGCCGACATAACTTGGCCGATGGCACCCTGAGGAGACCCTCTCTGTGGGAACGGACTGGTCGGTGGGAGGCTATTGGTGGCAGAAGACGGTCTGCCTGTTTCCTGAAATATATCTCTTACCAATTTTCAGAGTGGCCTAAATCTAGGCAAAGTTAAGGGTAGAAGCACTGAGTTATAAACATTTTCCCTGTCTTGGAAGCTTTCCTTGCTTGTCTTAAACGGGACCGCAGGGATGACATTAAATTACTTAAGGATTGTACTACGGTGACCTCCTCAGCCGGTGATGGATGGCTTTACACAGCTTTGCCTGCGACCTTGGAGATCAAAGCAAAGATATCATCTGTTCTCTTAGGTAGATATTCAGTGTTGGGCCCTGAATTCCCAGAAGAGGCATTTTTTTTACAAGCACGCAGTCTTCAACATATTACTTTTCCTTTTTATCTGTCTCGTTGGATGCCGACCGTTCCTGACTGGTACTGTAATTGTTGCTGCCAGCAAAGCTCCTGTGGAAGAGTCTAATTTTAAAGACGTTGGATGGAAGTTTATATTTTCCTCAAGGGGTTATAGAGCAGCAGCAGAAGAGAAAGCTAACAGAAAAGTGTGGAAGTTCACTGATCCCGATGAAATTGTGTCAGGAAAAGACATCATTGCGCTAATAATTTAGATCCCTCACCAAGGAATCTAGTTTTGTGCAGGGTGGATAAAAATCAATGATTTTTTTTAAAAAAAATCAAAAAAATCAGTTTTTTTTATTTAAATCGGATTTTTTTTTATTTAAATCGGATTTTTTTTTATTTTTATCGAATTTATTTTAATAAAAAACTTTTGGGGTAAAAATCTATCGTAAGATAGTTTGTTTGTTTGTTGTTCAATTTATATGCCACCCTTCTCCAGAGACTCAGGGCGGCTTACAATGCATTAAGCAATAGCCTTCATACTTTTGTATATACCTGCTTTTGGCCCCTCCTAAGCGGTGTTTTTTTTTAATACAAAGTCAGCTTATTGCCCCCACAATCCGGGTTCTCATTTTACCTACCTCGGAAGGATGGAAGGCTGAGTCAACCTTGAGCCTGGTGAGATTTGAACTCGCAGTAATTGCTGGCAGCTGGCGACCAAGTGCTACTTTAACAGCACTTAGTCCACTGCTCCACCAGTGAGGACGTTACCTAGTTAGGTAATGAAATATCTGCAAGAAAACAACCAAGCTCAGAGAGCGCCAAGGACCTCACAGTTCACCTCTGAGCTACAAATATTCTCTTCTACCCACATAAACCCAAATTTTTTCAGGTCTTCAGTTATTTTTAAGGCCAGTTATTTTTAAGGCAGTAAAGGCATCCTGAGGCTACCATGTTTGAGAACTGGTGGTTTGTGGGACATTAACCAATTATAGTTGCTGCTCAGTTAGAACTTATTAACAATATGTTTGAATTCTACAGATAACATAATAATGCAAATTTATGCAAAAGCTAAATTTAATATTGAAACAGTCCTAATACCAAGATGTAAGTTTTCTACGTATACCCTGTTTCCCCCAAAATAAGACATCCTCTGATAATAAGGCCAATTGGGCTTTTGAGCGCATGCGCTAAAATAAGCCTCCCCCAAAAAATAAGCCTTCCCCAAAAATATTTTAAATGCAGAGCTGGAAATCGGGTAAGGCGGCAAGAGGAGCCCCATCTTGCTCCACGCGGCCCAAAATAATAAGATCTCCCCGAAAATAAGGCCAAGTGTTTATTTCGGGGTTCAAAAAAATTATAAGACAGGGTCTTATTTTCGGGGAAACACGGTATAGATTCTCAGTCATCCAGGTCATGGTTGTCCCAAAGGTGCTTTTTCAAAAGGAAACTGGACTTTTTTTTTTTTTGTGAAGATGTTTCCCTTCTCATTCAAGAAGCTTCTTCAGTTCTGACTGAATGACTCAGGATGGAAGAATTTGTATTCCTTGCAGTCATCTGGTCATTAGCATTCTTTCTAAGAGTTGCTGAAGCCACTTGAAGGTTTTCTACATTTGGCACCTGTCACGAAACACTCGTTTCCTGACACCTAGTCCAAAATGTGGCAATATGGATTTTTGCCGTGCTGCTGGACTGAACCAAGAAACCATACATACCGTATTTTTTGGAATATAAGACACATCTTTCCCCCCCAAAAAGTGGGTGAAAATTTACGTGCGTTTTATAGACCCAATATGGGCATTTTTGATCTCCTGAACCCACTGCATGTTGCATTTTTGCCCTCCCAGGCAGAAAGCACTCTGCAGGCCAAAAACCGGACTGATTTTTGCGAAAATGGGCCTTGTAGAGCACTGCAGAGTGCTTCTGGGGGTCTGGCAGGACTAAAACGCGACTTACGGAGGCCAAAAACTATTTTTTTTCTTGTTTTCCTCCTGTAAATTTAGGTGCGTCTTATAGTCGGGTGCGTCTTATGGTCCGAAAAATATGGGTATATTCATTTTCTCATTGTTAGCTCAGATTGAATCAAGGTAGGAGGGTTATCATCTTCTAAATGGTTGGATGTTTCTAGAAATTAACTTTCTAAACTGCACGTCTAGGGCTGATTCATCCATCCATCATCACAGAAGGCTTCAAACCTCCCTGTCGTGAATTGACTCATCTCTCACCTAGGAACAATATTGTATGCATCAATGAAGTTTGCCTTTTAATGTCAGGTGAGGAATCTGTTTATGCTAAATGTCAACTGCATGCGGAAAAGCCAATCGTGGTGAACTTTCACTGCCTCCTATCTCAAGGTTAAAGAGATGATGTCAGAAATAGAACACGGGATTTTTTTTTTTGCACATGAATCATCCTTTCTTGTGCCTTGTTGCTGTCTGTCCATCCCTCCATGCCCCCCATGAAGAAATCTTCTAAAAAATACAACTTTGACTTCTTTTAAAGAAACAGCAGTTGGAATGTTTGCCAAGGAGAGAGAATGTGTATAGATCTTCTGGCTAATTCAGCTCCTCAGATGACTTGGAGGTCAGAATAATTTTATTAAAGAACACACACGTTGCATTTATGTGCTGCTGGGTTCCACGTCAAGTCCCAGCAGTTGACAGGGATAATTTAAAAAAAAAAAAATTGGAAAAATACAAAGTGGAAATCAGTCAGAATATACAGGTGAGCAATATGCCCAGTGATGTCCATTCATCTGCCGAATGCCCATTGGAAGAACTCAAGTCTTCGGTAGCTTCTGAAAAGCCATCAACAAAGGGGCCCATCTATATTCCAGAGGAAATTTCCAGTTGGAAAGGTTTTGTTGTTGTTGTTGTTGTTTTGCAGCCATCCATACAACATTCTTCCAATAGTCTTCTGCTTTATTCAGATTGTTGTGACCTGAATAAAGTAATATTATTGTAATGACTTACAAGACACAATTAGTTCCAAACAAACCTATTTTATTGTAACAGCTGAGAATTACGTTCATTCCCAGCTGAGTCCCAATTAGTTGCAAAACAAGTCCTTTGGAAGGAGTCATTCGGTATAATCACCAACCTTTATCTTCTTTGACACCCTGCCAAAGGCCTTACTTGGCAAAGCCCCACAGAGTTCAGAAGCAAACAAGAGATGCTGACTGGAAACAGAGTTAGCGATGTTGCTTTCCTGCAAAAGGCCCAAGTGCCTTTGTTTCTCTTTTAAGCCTTATGGGAAGGGCCAATTATCTTCTGGCCTTACTCCCGAGTCGTCCCTTTTGCTTTAGCTGCTCTTGCCTTCTGGCAGCTTTTCATATGCGTGCACTAGGAATAGGTTCCTCCTGTTCCTCTGCCTCTTTGCTGTCCGACTCTGGGGGCTCCGGAGTCTGCACATCACTCCTAGATGGCCGTGGCCCCATCTCTGCCTCCGACGCAGAGCCCTCGTCCGGGCCTTCCCCAGACTCCAGGACTGGCCCATGTTCCTCCCCAGCCTCCTCACTGTCCAACTCTCCTGCCAGCTCTGCAGGCTGCTGGCAGACCACAACTTAAAGAAGAGACTGGATAGCCACTTGTCTGAAATGATATAGTTCTGCTTGAACAGGGAGCTGGACTAGAAGACCTCCAAGTTCCCTTTCAGCTCTATTCTGAATCACAGATGACCTTTCTGAAGTGTAGATGGGTAGTAGTGTTCTTTTCTGCAGATTAGAGGCCTTCTTGCAACTCTGCCAGGAACACCATTGGTGTTTGATATTCTGTTGATGGTAGTCTGACACTAACATAAGCCAATGCAAGAGAGGTCTTTATTTCTTTATTCACTGATTTGATTTCATTTTATATCACAGCAAACAACTCAGAATTCAAGTTCTTTACAGTTGCCTTGGGATTCTCTGAGAGGCCTTGCTCTTGGAAATGGTCTTGGTTGGTTGGTTGGTTGACCACTCCCAAGGAGAATACAGTTAGTCCTTGACTTACCACCATTCCTTTAGTGACCATTCGAAGTTACAATGGTACTAAAAAAAAGTGACATGACTGTTTTTAAGAACTGTGGTGGCGCAGTGGTGAGAGTGCAGTACTGCAGGCTACTTCTGCTGACTGCCGGCTGCCTCCAATTTGGCAGTTCACATCTCACCAGGCTCAAGGTTGATTCAGCTTTCCATCCTTCCGAGGTGGGTAAAATAAGGACCCAAATTGTTGGGGGCAATATGCTGACTCTGTAAAACCGCTTAGAGAGGGCTGTAAAGCAGTATATAAATCTAAGTGCTATTGCTATTTTCACACTTACGACAGTTGCAGCATCTTAATAGTCATGTGATCAAAATTTGGCTGCTTGGGTATTGGCATGTATTTATGACATGGGGTCAGGTGATCCGTTTTTGGGACTTTCTGACAAGCCGAGTCAATGGGGAAGCCAAATTCACTTCACAACTGTGTTACTAACTTAACTGCAGTGAATAACAATTGTGGGAAGAAAGGTGGTAAAACGAGCCAAACTCACTTAATAACTGTTTCACTTAGCAACGGAAGTTCTGGGCTCAATTGTAGGCACAAGTCAAGAACTACCTGGAAAAGTGGTGTTGAATTGACTCCATTTGGACACAGTCTGCGCGGCAGTGAACATGCGGAGTGCAAACTCTTAGGAAATCGTTTTGGAATCCTTTCCAGCCTGTTCAACATCAACCCCTTTTTTTTTTTCCTGAGGTCTTCGGGAATTTCCTTTGTTCAAGCTGTGACATGCTTCCGCATAATTGTGTTGTGAAGATCAGACTTCCCTAGTGAACACCCAGAATTCTGTGCTTTAAATAAGACAGGACGTCCCATACACAACACCCATTGTTAACCTCATGTTGGAACACTGCTATTATGTCACCCCTAGTCCTTCTTTTCCTGCAACCGTTCTTCATATGTTTTAGCCTTCAGACCCCCCCAATCATCTTTGTCATTCTTTTCTCCACTTTTTCCACAGTCTCAAATCTTTTTTTATATGGTGGTGAGCAAAAGTGGATGCAGTATTCCAAGTGTGGTCTTACCAAGGCATTGTAAAGCGGTATTAACACCTAAAATAGGAATAGAATAACGGAGTTGGAAGGGACCTTGGAGGTCTTCTAGTCCAACCCCCTGCTCAGGCAGGAAACCCTACACCACTTCAGACAAATGGTTATCCAACCTCTTCTTCAAAACTTCCAGTGTTGGAGCATTCGCAACTTCTGGAGGCAAGTTGTCCCACTGATTAATTGTTAATAAATTAAGCACTTCACGTGATCTTGATTCTATCCCACTGTTAATACAGCCTAGGATTGTGCAAAGTATGTCAGTGAAATTCCCAGGTTCAGTTTTGTCCCCTTTAAAACCATCTGGATGAAGAGCATTGGAAACGGAAGTTTGCAGATTTCTTTTTTTTTCTTTTTTCTTTTTTTTTGGTTTTTGCAAACCCTGAATTAAACCTGACTATTTTTCCAACACGGAACAAAAGTATTTTACTCTTGAACGACAATATGTCTGTCAATCTCAGCTTGCCCTTCCGCTTGTAGAATCGGATGCCTAGAAATAACCCTCTTTTCCTATTTGTGTAACAGTTGTGTGTGTGTGTGTGTGTGTGTTTTTTTTTTAAAGAGAAAAAAGAACGTTAATTTTTGGAACACCCTTGGAATCACTTGCCAGTCATCCAAACCATTTGTCACCTCGCAACCATCCTTTGAAAGAGTTATCTTTGGTTCCTGTCTCGCCTCCCTTTGTCCGTTGCAGCTGTTGTTGTTGGCAGTCCCTGAGCTTTGTCCTTCAGCCTCAGCTGTTTGTGTCGGCAATCTTGCTGACCTCCCTGTGATCTCTTCGGCAAACAGAGTCAGTTGCAGGAAAACCGCTGCAACTGACTCTGCTAAGTTCCCCGTAACTCAGGAGCTTGCCTATAGATCACAAATCCTATTGGGAATCTGTGTGCACTCGGAGACCTGTCTTTGACTCCCCTACGTCTAGCTATCACAGCAGTTCTCCGTGCCTTATGTGCAAAGATCAGATAGTTGTTGAGATGACTGGACAGGCGTCCCCAAAGCAGGAAGCTTTACAGTAGCATTTGTCAAGTTTTCCGCACTTGTCAACCGCTCTTAGCCGTTGCAGCCGGCCAACAGGATGTCACAGTTGGTGGAATCAAGGCAACTGAGATTTGCACTTCCTATCCTGATTTGTCTCAAGAGTGACCAGCGTTTTTTTCCTTCCCATCCCAAACTTGAACGCCAATGAAAAAGGATCACATTTCCTATTTCTACTGGGGAACGGAGGTCATGCGACTTAGAATGTAGAACACAGAATAATAGAATTGGCAGGGAACCTGGGGGTCTTTTAGTCCAACCCCTGCTTAAGCAAGAAACCTTATACCATTTCAGACCAATGGCTGTCCAAGCTCTTCTTAAAAGCCTCCAGTGATGGAGCACCCATGACTTCCGAAGGCAAGCTGTTCCATTGGTTAATTGCTCTCACCAGTTAGAAAATCTCTCCTTAGTTCTAGGTTGTTTCTCTGCTTCATTAGTTTCCATCCATTGCTTCTTGTCCTGCCTTCAGGTGCTTTGGAAAATAATTTGACCGCCTTGTTTTGTGTATGTTTATGTTTTATTAAATTTATATACCGCCCTACTCCCGAAGGACTCAGGGCGGTGAACAGGTACAAAATAAAATACATAAATACAAAAGTTAGAAACATAATTAAAACCAAATTAAATAATTTAGCCCAAGACAATTTAAAAAAACCCAATAATTTAAAACAAATTAAAATTTCAATTTAAAAATTTAAAAGAAAGGGGAGAAAATTAGGCCAGGCCGGCTTGCTGGAATAGGAGGGTCTTAAGAGCACGGCGGAAAGTGCGCAGATCAAGGATCCTCCGTATCTCCGGGGGGAGCTCGTTCCAGATAGTGGGTGCCCCACAGAGAAGGCCCTCCCCCTGGGGGCCGCCAGTCGACACTGCTTGGCTGAAGGCACCCGGAGGAGCCCATCTCTATGAGAGCATACCGGCCGGTGGGAGGCTGTTTGTGGTAGTAGGCGGTCCCGTAAATAACCAGGTCCTAAGCCATGGAGCGCTCTAAAAGTGGTAATCAAAACCTTGAAGCACACCCGGAAGACCACCGGGAGCCAGTGCAGCTCGCATAGGAGAGGTGTCACACGGGAGCACCATGTTGCCTTTGTAGGAGCCCCTCAAATACTGGAACACTGCTATCCTGTCTCCCCTAGTCCTTCTTTTCATTAGGGTAAAAGGTAAAGGTTTCTCTCGCACATATGTGCTAGTCATTCCCGACTCTAGGGGGCGGTGCTCATCTCTGTTTCAAAGCCGAAAAGCCAACGCTGTCCGAAGACGTCTCCGTGGTCATGTGGCCGGCATGACTAAATGCCAAAGGCACAGGGAATGCTGTTATCTTCCCATCAAAGGTGGTCCCTATTTTTCTACTTGCATTTTTTACATGCTTTCGAACTGCTAGGTTGGCAGAAGCTGGGACAAGTTACGGGAGCTCGCCTTGTTACGCAGTGCTAGGGATTCGAACTGCTGAACTGCCGACCTTTCGATCGACAAGCTCAGCATCTTAGCCACTGAGCCACCATGTCCCTTCCCTTCATTACACTAGACATGCCCAATTCCTGTAACTCTTTTTCGTATGTTTTAGCCTCCAGCCCCTTAATCGTTCTTGTTGCTCTTCTCTGCTCCTGATATTGTTTTGCCAGAAGAATCATTTGGGTTTCCAGCTTGAGCCGGGGGTTACATAAGAACAAATCAAAATGAAATCCAGATATGCTGCGAAGAAAGGAGATTTATTTATTCCCCAAAGCAAAGAGGTTTGCTTGTGGGGGAAAATGAGGCACAAAGGGTTGTTTTATAAAAGAGCTTGTCCTTGGTGGGTCTTGAAGGGTTTGGGTGTATGTACATACTTGTTCTAATGTGTGGCTCTGTCACAAGGTCAATCTTGATTGCCCTTCCTTGTGTCTGTCAGCTTGCCTTTGTTGTGTAGATCAGCGGTCTTTGCGGCTGGGCAGCCTGGCTGGGAGAGGAGGGGAGAGAGAGGGGAACTGGGCTGCGCAAGTGGCACGCCGGTGTGCACGGGCATGCACACGCAGCTGGGCTGCAAGTTGAGCTGTGTGCATGTGTGCCAGCCTGCCACTTGCGTGAGTCAAGCTGCAGCCCGGTTGCAAATAGGTGGCGGCCCGGTTGCGGGTCGCAACTTGGGGGTTGAGGACCCTTGGTGTAGATGGTGTCTCGCAGCCCACTTGTGGGTTTGGGAAAGTGTGAATGAACAGATTTTTTTTTTTTTGTCTGCTTATTTATTCTTGCCCAGGTAATTGGTTTTTCTTTCTTTCTTTCTTTCTTTCTTTCTTTCTTTCTTTCTTTCTTTCTTTCTTTCTTTCTTTCTTTCTTTCTTTCTTTCTTTCTTTCTTTCTATCTTTCTTTCTATCTATCTATCTATCTATCTATCTATCTATCTATCTATCTATCTATCTATCTATGCAAAAAGTTAAAATCTCTGGTGTTTTCCCGTGTCATTATAAATAAGTTGGTTAAAATATTTAAAATCCTGGTTAAAATCCCAGCTTAAAATCTTCTAAAAATCCTTACAGAGCACTCTACAAGGTCCCTTAAAACCTCAGCTAAAATCCTACCAGTGACTTTAAAAGTTTTTCTTAAAGCAACGTATCTATCTATCTATTTTTTGTTTGTTTGTTTGTTTGTTTGATTTATATGCCGTCCTTCTCCGGACACTCAGGGCGGCTTACAATGCATTAAGCAATAGCCTTCATACTTTTGTATATACCTACTTAGTACGGCTTTTGGCCCCCCTCAAGCGGTGTTCTATTTTATACAAAGTCAGTTTATTGCCCCCACAATCTGGGTCCTCATTGTACCTACCTCGGAAGGATGGAAGGCTGAGTCAACCTTGAGCCTGGTGAGATTTGAACTCGCAGTAATTGCAGGCAGCTTACCCGTGGATTGAACAATTTTAGCATCTAATCTTTGTTAAAATGTACCTTTTTGATTGCACCAAAGCTCTGACTGGATGGTGAGGAAGAGCGGAAGAAGCTTCTTGGATGAGAAGCAAAACGTCTTCAAAGAAAAAGCAGAAAATCCAGTTGCCTCTTGGAAAAAGGCATCTTAGGGACAACCGGGACCTGGATGACTGAGACTCTCGATAGACTTTTTGATTGCAATGTATTTTCCAGCCTGAGTTAATTATTTGAAATTATTTGGGGGAAATAATCTTCTATGATTATTACTGATTTAATATTAAAATTCTTCCCACAATGTCAAGAAACTGGTTTTTTCAAACCCTGGTGCAGATGGAGAGTTGAGGGCTAAAAAGATGAATCATCATGGCCTGTTAAATTGGACAGATTTCAGTGGATCACCTGGTGGGTTTCAAAATCCCTGTTTTGGAGCTTAAATACAGTCCCGGAAAAAGCTCTTCCTTTTTTTTTTTTTGCAAACTTATTTAGCAATTTAGCAACTGAAAGCTGGTAAAACATAAAGGAGCCCAACTCTTTCAGTTCATAAAACATGGATGATTTTGTTGGGCAAAGTTTTTGAGCTTCCTTGGTCCTAGGCTATAAGGGTTCAACTTGTGGCTATAAAGGTTCAATAATTTTGAACGGGAAAACAAATACAGCTAATCATCATCTTCGTTTAATGACCCCCATAATCCCTTGCGGGGGGGAGTCTGGCCAGCTGAACGGAGCTGAGTGTTTACTGGCCGGATGCCCTTTCCTGTCGCCAGTGCGGAGTTATATTCAGCAGATATATTCTCATCGTGCCCGGAGAGAGAAATATCTGCCTCTACCTAGGATCGAACTCACAACCTCCTGAGTCTGAGCTCCACCTCTAGACCACCGCACCATTCGAAAACAAATGCAGCTAATATAATAAAATAATCCTTGTTATCCAGTTCCAAGCAAGATTATATTGCAGATGTGACATTCTGTGAAGTTCCAAGTGATAGGCTGCAGAAGCAGCCAAATTGGTACCTTCCATTCCCTGCAAAAATAGCATCTGATGGGGGAATATATATATATAAAGATGCTGGAACTTTCTGTGCTATACTCGGGAGTGTTGTCCTTTCTATTTTCTTAGGGAAAAGGATTCGGTTATTTTCCAGGGCAATCTTGCGTGTATTTTACTCCGCCCGAGGAGCCAGGGACTACGTTCATAGCATACATTCCAAGATTGCAGAATGGCAACTGGTACTTAACAACATTCCTTCTTTTCCATAATGTTTTGGTTTTGCATAGAAAAAGCGAACAATCCTGTTATAAAAGATCCACTAAACTTTCATGCTCAGGCAGATTTGTTCCATACCATGTGCTTTCTTCTGCGTGAAAAATCCCTTTAACTCCCAGGTTCTCAGTTCTAAAAATACCTTCTTTGTCTTGAAAAGCAATAAAAGTCAGTTTCTTATCCATACTAAATGCTGCAGTTCCCTCCTTCTAACCACAGCATGGTTGGTTGTAAGAATTACAGTTGGGAGATGCTTTTAAAACAAATGTGTTTTTAGCAGCGGAATGCCAGGTGAGACAGTGAAGGTGTCTAGCAAAACATCAGCATATGTTCCAGTGATGAAATCCAATTTTTTTTTACTACCGGTTCTGCAGGTGTGGCTTGGTGGGTGTGGTGTGGCTTGGTGGGCGTGGCAGGAGAAGGATACTCAAAATCTCTATTCCCACCCCACTCCAGGGGAAGGATATTGCAAAATCTCCATTCCCACCCCACTCTGGGGCCAGCCAGAGGTGGTATTTACCGGTTCTCCGAACTACTCAAAAATTTCCGCTACTGGTTCTCCGAACTGCTCAAAATTTCCGCTACTGGTTCTCCAGAACCTGTCAGAACCTGCTGGATTTCACTCCTGATATGTTCCCTATCTCCCATGTCATTACTCAAAATGCCGTTCTAGATAGTTTACACCGGGGGTGTCAAACTCAAGGCCTGCGGGCCGGATTTGACCTGCGGGGTACTTAGATCTGGCCTGTGGGGCTGCTCTGAAACATCAAAGGACCGGGCCGCCGTGCCTCTGCCAGTAAAAATGGAGCTCAGGCGGGCCACGTGCATCTCGAGGGTTTGAGACGGTTGCGCATGGAGCTCGGAAGCTCCGCTTTTGGCTGCGACGATGGCCTTCTACAGTGTTCTGCCAGTGAAAACAGAGCTCGGGAGGGCCGCGTGCGGTCTTCCCGAGCTCCATTTTCACTGGCAGAGCATTGCCGGAGGCTTTCGCAGCTGAAAACGGAGCTTGGGACTGTGGGGCCCCAGTGTCCTGAGAGCTCAAGGGCCAGACTGGGCGCTTGCCTTCCGCTGGCTAGGGCTCTGGACAGCCTGCGCCGCCGACTGGGTGTCTTCCACATGTTCTCCTCTGGAGGACAAGGGTTTGGCGCTCTCCCTGGTCTCGCCTTCCTCCACTGGAGACAATGGATTCTCCCAGCCCTGTCCAAGCCACCACAGGTGCCCTCTACACAAGTGATGTCGAGCTGGCCACACACACCACACACCACCCCCTCTGAAGTCAAACACAACCCTGATATGGCCCTCAATGAAATCGTGTTTGACGCCCCTGGTCTATGCTCTATGAGTAAAATCTTTATTTAAATAAACCACCATGCTTTATTATTTGGGAAAGAAGGACCAATAATGGTTCTGTTCCATAAGTTTGAGTCCAGTTTTTTAAATGTTATTTTCCCCGCCTTTGGTACCCTGTTTCCCCCAAAATAAGACATCCCCTGATAATAAGCCCAATCGGGCTTTTGAGCGCATGGCAATAAGGCCAAGCGCTTATTTCAGGGTTCAAGAAAATATATTTTCGGGGAAACACGGTAGTAAGCCCCATGTTAATAGACATGCATAATGTCACCTGCTTAACCTTCTGTTTTGGTTTTTTTAAAAGAAGATCTTGAAAATTAATACATCTTGATCTGAGTTCCACCTCTTTTCCACATAGGTTTTGTACCGAATTTAACTGGCTCAAGAAAGCAATGGCAACTTATTGAAATGTAATGTATTCAATTCAATTTAGGCATCGCCCCACTCCAACTGGCTCCGGGCAGGACACAATATAACACCGTACAGACCAATACCAGATGGGATCCAATCACCGTAAGGAGACAAATTGCAAGATTCAGGTATTTGTGATCAAATAATCCTGATAAAAGCTTTCCAGAAAATACTGGATTTTTTTTTTCTTGGACAGATGATTTGCTGTTATTTGCCTTTTATGTCTGAGGTAGTAACAAAGAATCCTATTGTACATAATCCTATTGCACATAATCTTATAGTGATTCACTATAAAAAAACATACTCTAACTTAACCGCAAGTTCAATGGAAACTTTTGGACTAACCAAGATCTTATTGTAACTGGTCCAAAAATTATACTGCCTAAGTCAATTGGCTTAATGTAACCCAGTTCCTTCCCATCTCCTACGGGGAGCACACCTGTCTTTAAAATGTTTTCTCTAAATTGCTCTTAAGAGTTTTTTTTTTTTGTTGTTGTTGTTAAAAAAAAAACATATCCGTTTAACTTAAGCATTTGGATAAAATTTTGCTAATTAAATATCAGGTCCCTTGAGTTGATAAAAAAAATCTTGGAATGTGCCGAGATGGATAAACTGACAAAAGAACTTAAAAAAAAAGAGGACACAGAATATTATATGATTTGGCACAAATAGTATAAGTGGTTGGAGGGGAGGAAAAATGAAGAAGAAAAATAGGGGGGAAAGATAGAAATATTAAATAATAAAGAAGGAATATGCTAAAGTATAAAAAATAGGAAATTGATATGAATGAGAGAAATATATTGTATATATTAAAATGTTGGAGACAAGTAGTACATCAGAAAAATATAAAGAGAAATAAGGGGAAATTGTGAATAACAAAGAAGACCACTATGAAATAGGTGTAAAGAGAGCTTGTTTATAAATGTAAACAATTTATAAATTTTTATAAATAAAAATTATTTATAAAACAAATAAAAATAAATATCAGGTCCCTCAACCAAGTCCATGAATAGACTGATATCACGTTCAATATCACATCAATAACGACCACTTCCATAAATTCCGTGCAGGTAGTCCTCCACTTACAACAGTTCATTTAATGAATTGTTTAAATATGTACTTTAGCATTAAAGAACGAATAAATATTTAAAGGAAAAAAAAAAGATAACACTACCCATTTTTTCGCTGTTTACAAAAATATCTTTTGCTTTAAATGTATAGGTATAGCAGTTCATTTAATGAACATTCAAAATTATAACGGCACTGAAAAAAGTGGCTTGGGATCGTTTTTCACAGTTACGACCATTGCAGCATCTCCATGATCAAAATTCAGACACTTGGCAACTGACTGACTTATGATAGTTGCTATCCTGGGGTCATGTGATCCCCTTTTGACAAGCAAAGTCAATGGAGAAGCCAGATTCACTTAACAACCAACTGAACCAACATTGCAGCGATACACTTAACAGCTGTTGCAAGAAAGATTGTAAAATGGGGCAAAATTCACTTCACGGCTGCCTCACTTAGCAACAGAAACGACCTTAATTGTGGCTGTAAACCAAGGACTGCCTTTTACCAACCATTTATGCTTTCCCCTCTGCATAGGGTAGTTGTGTTATACATAATATGAGCCGTGGTGGTGCAGTGGTTAGAATGCAGTATTAGCTCACTGTGAGAAGTTCGATCCTGACCAACTCAAGGTTGATTCAGCCTTGCATCCTTCCGAGGTTGCTAAACGAGGACCCAGATTGTAGGGGGCACTATGCTGAATTTGTAAACCGCTTTAGAGAGTGCTGTAAAGCACTGTGAAGCGATGTATAAGTCTAGGTGCTACGGCTAACTGAACTCACTGCCAGGAGTTCGATCCTGACCAACTCAAGGTCGACTCAGCCTTCCATCCTTCCGAGGTCGGTAAAATGAGGACCCAGATAGTTGGTTGCTTTTGCTAATTTTGTAAACCGCTTTAGAGAGTGCTGTAAAGCACTATGGACTTTATATGAGTTTAAGTGCTATTGCTGTTGCTATACTGTTATCAGTATGTGTGCTGAAGGAGACCTAGAAATGTGTTTTTCACCTACCTTTAATTTTCTGTCTTTTTCCAGATGGGCCCTTCCCTGCAGCCCAAAGAATGGTAGTTTGTTGTTGTAAACATCCCCGACTGGAAGCTGGAAAACGTAGCTTTCAGTCCGATGTTTGCTGCCGCCAGCTACTCATAAACAACGCCGGAAGGAAAAGATCCATCATCAAGAGGCTTTGTTTCAAAACTGGCAGGTACTGCGCTGTCGCTTCTACCGTGTTTCCCCAAAAGTAAGACTGGGCCCTATATTAATTTTTGCTCCAAAAGACGCATTAGGGCTTATTTTCTGGTTAGGTCTTATTTTGGGGGAAATACAGTACTAAATGCATCCATCTGGCTGCCGATCTTAACTGGGTCTTATTTTGGGGGTAGGGCTTATATTACAAGCATCCTAAAAAAACATTCTAGGGCTTATTTTCCACTTGGGTCTTATTTTTGGGGAAACATGGTAGGATCTGTAACACAGGCTTTTGGTTGAGAGGAGGAGGGGAAAAAAATCTGGCAGCATGGATGATAAAATCCTCCTGTTGACCTTAAAGCAGAGGTGGGCAACGATGGCCCCTTTATGACTTGTGGACTTCCATTCCCAGCATGGCTGGCTCAGGAATTCTGGGAGTTGAAGTTCCCAAGTCATAAAGGGGAACCATCGTTCCCTACCCCTGCCTTAAAGGGAATGTCAGTTTTCTCTGGACAAGTGCATGAGTGATCAATCCCTGAGGGTGGAAAGGGGGAAGAGATCCATTTTTCCTCCCTTGGATTTACCAATATCAGTAAATGTGGTTAACACACACAGGTAGTTTTCAACTTCAAACAGTTTGTTTAGTGACCTTTCACATTTACAACAGCCCTGAAAATAGTGACTTACGGCCATTTTTTCCAACTTACAACCATTGCAACATCCCCATTGTCACGTGATCAAAATTCAGACGCTCGGCAACTGTGTCATGTCTAGGACGGTTGTAATGTCCCGGGTTCATGCAATCCCCTTTTGCGACCTTCTGGGAAGCAAAGTCAATCGGGGAAGCCAGATTCGCTTAACAGCCGCTTTACTGATGTAACAGTTGCGGTGATTCACTTAACGGCTGTGGCCAGAAAAGTGATAAAATTGAGCAAAACCCGCTCAACAAACGTCTCACTTAGCGACGGAAAATTTGTCAGAGTTTGTTGCAAAATCAAATCCAGAAAGCACACACAGGTCAACTGATTCAGCAGGATTCATTAACTTCTTTATATACATAATAATACATGAAGTGAATTTACAATACCAACAGCAGATTTCTTCCAACCTGGTAGCAGTTACAAGCAAAACCACAAGGCAGGAGAGAACAGTTAGTTTCATTTCAGCAGAGTTCAGAGCAGGCAAGCCCAGACTTGTTTAGTTCGCAGCACAGAATCAGACTCAGAGCTTAAAGCTGCAGGGCCCTGCCACGCCCAGACTTCTTACTTAACTTTCTGTTTCTAAAAAGTCCCCATTGGCTGACCTGTTACTATGCCTATTCATTGGCTGATCTATTCCAGTCTATGAATATTCATACTCTGACAAATTTTGGGCTCCGTTGTGGTCGTAAGTGGAGGACTACCTGTATAGAGTTAGGCCATTGATAATTATGGGCAGCCAAAGCCAACTGCAATGCTACTAGACCTGAGCCAGAGATTACTGTAATATCTATCCATTTCTTTTCTTTTTCATGATTTTTGCTTTAATATGTTCCCTCTCGGACTGAGCAGTGCTGTTTGTTTTATTTTCTTAAATAGGAGCTCCTCAGCATTTCTGCTTCTTAAGACTACAGTTTTGGACAACTTGAGAAACACCCACCCACACGCATTCATACATTCATTTAAGCTTCTTGGCATTCCGTCGAGAGCTGAACGGTTAAGGACGATGAGATATAAAAGAGGAAAAATTTCAAGGTGCCTCTCTGGCATCTGAAAGTTAAGAATAACGCTCTATGCTCCTGAATATTGGGGTGTGTCCTATAGTTTCCTCTTATTTGTTTTATGTTGTCAGACTTGTAGGGTGCCAACTCTTTTATAACTTGACTTATAAGTCAGCTGTGTTATTGTCAAGATCAGACTAAAAGGACATCTCCCTCGAATCGGTGCATCTCGGCTCAGCTTAACCCCATCGAGTTTTCGTAGTGGGGGAAACATAGAAAAATAGAAAGGGGCAGCTGCCGTTTGCTCTTGGGGAAGGGGAAGATACTAAACTGAACAAATAAACAAGGAGCCCTTTCTGCTTTTGTCCGAAGACAAAATGTTCTAGTCACAGAAAGGCGAAATCAAGTGCATCTGAAATCCAAATTTAGAAGAAGAGCTGGTGATGACCAATTACAAATCAGATTTGATATAAATTCAAAAGGTTAACATTTCGGGGGCACCTCCAACATAGCCCTACTTAAATACCCAAAGCATTATCCTCGTTTAATTGGAAGGACAAAATATCGTTCAATCATTATTCATTAATTATTAGAGTTATAACTCATTTTTGGGTGCTTTGTCTTCGAGCCTCCTAGTAGCCCAAGTTATGTCTTGGCTTGTCCTCATGCTTCTGTTAGGTCTACTGTATCTTTGGTTTACAGAAACCTTCATGTTTTATTTAGTGGCCGAGCATACTTTTTATTCCTTTGTTCTTGCTGTGATGTTGTTTTTAAAATACGTTCTTCGGCGTTAAGAAAACTAATAAATATTTAAAGAAATAAAGAAAAAAGTACAGTACCCATTTTTTTTTGCTACTTACAGAAGTATCTGTTGCTTTAATTGTCCTCGACTTGAACAAGAGTTCATCAAAGTTCATCAAAGTCACAATGGCACTGAAAAATGTGACTTATGGCCGTTTTTCATGGTTATGACCTTTGCAGCATCCCCGTGATCATGTGATCAAAATTCAGATGCTTGGCCAACAGTTCATCTTTATGACCGTTGCTGATTCCCTTTGGCGACCTTCTGATAAACAAAAGTCCATGGGGAAGCCGGATTCTCTTCACAGCCGGGTTACTAGCTTATCAACTGCAGTGATTCGCTTAACAACTGGCAAAAAAAAGGTCGTAAAATGGGGCAGAACTCACTTAACAAATGTCTCGCTTAGCCACAGACATTTAAACTCTGGTCATACGTCAAGGACTGCCTGTATTCTGAATGTTACGGTCGCTTGTTAATTGCATTCAGGGGAAAATTTGGGTTTGAAAACGGAGGCTTTGCTTTCTTTCTTTCCATTGCATTTGAAAATATTGAAGGCCAGGCACTGGTTGCCACTGATTCCTAGTTAGAATAACAGAATAACAGAGTTGGAAGGGACCTTGTTTGTCATCTAGTCTAACCCCCACCCAATACCAGGAGACCCTACACCATTTCTGACAGATGGCAGTCCAGCCTCTTCTTGAAAGCTTCCAGGGATGAAGCTCCCACAACTTCTGAAGGCAACTTCTGTTCCATGGGTTGATTGTTCCCACTGTCAGAAAATTTCTCTTTATTTCCAGGTTGAATCTCTACCTGATCAGTTTCCGTCCATTATTCCTTGTCTGGCTTGGAAAATAGCTTGACCCCCTTCCTCTCTGTGGCAGCCCCTCAAGTATTGGAAGATGGCTATCATGTCTCCCCTGGTCCTTCTCTTCACTAGACTAGCCATGCCCAGTTCCTGCAACCGTTCTTCATATTAGCCTCCAGTCCCCTAATCATCTTTGTTGTTTTTCTCTGCACTCTTTCTAGAGTCCCAACATCTTTTTTTACGTCGTGGCAACCAAAACTGAATGCAGGATTCCAAGTGTGGCCTTACCAAGGCATTATAAAGTGGTATTAACACTTCACGTGATCTTGATTCTATCCCTCTGTTGATGCAGCCTAGAACAGTGTTGGCTTTTTTGGCAGCTGCTGCACACTGCTGGCTCATATCTAAATGGTTGTCCACTAGGACTCCAAGATCCCTCTCACAGTTTCTACTATTGAGCAAGGTACCACATACATGGTACCTGTGCATTTTGTTTTTCTTCCCTAAATGTAGAACCTTGCTTTTTTCATTGTTGAATTTCATTTTGTTAGATAGTGCCCAATGTTCAAGTCTGTCAAGATCCTTCCGTATCTTGAGCCTATCTTCTGGAGTGTTGGCTATTCCTGCCAGCTTGGTGTCATCTGCAAATTTGATGAGTTCCCCATCTATCCCCTCGTCTAAGTCATTGATGAAGATATTGAAGAGCACTGGGCCTAAAACAGAGCCCTTGGGTACTCTACTGCATACTTCATATGCAAAGGCAAAAGATATCATGTTAGTTGGAAGACATCATGTCTCTTGCTGATGCCTTCCAAGTCTCACCGGCACAAGTCTCAGGACAACAGAAAAAAATTAGCGTTGAATATAGATAATATTCACCAGAGGTGTGGAAAGGACTACTATATCTGGATTGCAACAATTCAAATGTCTACTAGATGCCAGTCAAGAGATACAAAAATTGGGCTGTTGGTTAATATTTCAGATTTTGTGTGTGTGTGTGTCTTTTAATGATCCCATAATCCGTTGCGTTGGGGTGGAGTCAGGGCAACTGAATGGAGCTGAGTGTTTAAGCAGACCATGACTTTGAGGTGGCTCCAGACAATTTCTGATGGTAGATCCTGCTATGCCGAAGTGGAAACACGAAGAAGAGAGACTTAGTGCCCTGGGAATGGAGGTGGCATCCGTTCGCCTGGTTGGAGGTGTCTCATAGAAGCCTTGTAGATCTGTCTATTAAAGCAGACTTTCTTTTGAGTGCCTGAACTGAGCAGAAATGTGCAAAGTCCAGGAGGCTGGAGAAAAGCCCAGGTAGATTTCTGCAGGTAAGTTACCGTATTTTTTGGACTATAAGACACACCTAAATTTAGAAGAGGAAAACAACAATTTTTGGCCTCCGTGCACCCCATTTTCAGCTTTTTTTCAGGCCGTTTTTGAGGCCTTTTTCAGCCCAGTTTTGAAGCTTTTTTTGGCTCATTTTCCAGGCGTTTTTGGCACATTTTTGGAAAAAAACGGGCCGAAAAAAGCCTCAGAAATGGGCTGAAAAAAGCCTCAAAAACAGGCCGAAAAAAAAAGGCTTGAAAAGGGGGTGTGCAGAGGCCAAAAATTGGCCGGTGGGTGGGCGGGGCTTCAGCAATATTCAGTCTATAAGACGCACAGACATTTTCACCCCCTTCTGGGAGACATAAAAGTCCGTCTTATAGTTCAAAAAATATGGTGCATCTCAACAGCATGCTTATATTCTTTAAAATAACACAGGTAATGTGACACTTGTGATTAAAGCTACAGACAGTAGAAGCTAAGCCAAGAGGACAAGATAGGTCTCTAGAGAGGAAGAAATAATATTATCATCATTTAATGATCTTTGCGGGGTGGAGTCTCGGCAACTCAATGGAGAGCTGAGTGTTTACTGGCCCGATGCCCTTCCTGTCACCAGTGCGGAGTTATATTCAGCAGATACATACTCATCGTGCCCAAAGAGAGAAAATATCTGTCTTTATCTAGGATCGAACTCACAATCTCCTGAATGTGAGGTGAGAGCTCTACCTCTAGGCCACTGCACCACTCAGGGAAGAAATAATAGCATAGTAAAAGTTAATTAGTTAGGTCTAGAATTAGCCATGGGGGGAGGGAGGGAGGGATGCAAAGGAAACCAGCTCTGAAAAACTGCTGAAAAAACCACATTTAACCCCGTGTTTGGTAGACTCTGAAGTATCAGAATATGGTTCAGTCTTTGTGAAAATGGCTCTTGGTGGTGTCCATTTGTCCAAGCACAGACGCCTAATTCCGTGTGTTAAGAGCTGCCCTATGGAAGTTAATTACAGCCTCCGGGGTTGGCTCTAGCGTTATAAGGAGCCAGCCTTGAACTCTGCAGCCTGAATCTGGGGTGTTGGACACATCACCCTAAAGTGTTTATGGGCTGAGAAAGGTTTTTAACTTCACCGGCCTGCTTTCAGCAATATTAGAACAGTTTACACGCTAGTAAATGCTGAGGGAGGGGCAAAATGTTTCACAGCATTGCCATTCTGTGCAAGGAATAGATGACTTGGGAGGATTTTATATACACTAGTGGCCAAAACTGGGGAAACCGTTTGGGAAAAGTGTATTTTTGAGGTTTGATGGCTAATAACACCTTATTTTTTTGGAGTTTCAAGATAATCCTATCCCACTGCTGGAATGGCCTGGGAATAGCCCAGACCATTGAAAATCTATGGAGCCGACTAAAGAAACTTGTTAGTCAGAAGCAACCCAGCAATAAAACCCAGTTAATAGAAGCAATCGTTCAATCTTGGTTTCACATGATAACAGCTGCAGAACTAAAGGACTTGGTTCACTCCATGGGAAGACGTTGTAAGGCCACAATTCATGCTAAAGGTTACCCAACTAAGTATTAACTGACATGGTGATAATTTTTGTATATCTCGTTTTTTCTACGTGTTTTATTTTTCTTTTTTATACTGTAACTGCTATTCTAATAGAAAATCCTTCATAAAAATTATTGCATTACATTCTTGATTAAATTATCTTTATGGTACTACTCCAAAAAAAAAAGTGGTGTCATTAGCTAGTTTTAGAAAATACACTTTTCCCAAAAGGTTTCCACAATTTTGGCCACTACTGGAAATCCTTGTTTTTGCTTTGAATTTAAGTTTTGTTTTGTTGTTTTGAGTACCATGTTTCCCAAAAATAAGACCCTGCCTTATATTTTTTTGAACCCTGAAATAAGCACTTGGCCTTATTGCCATGTGCTCAAAAGCCCGATTGGGCTTATTATCAAGGGATGTCTTATTTTGGGGAAAAGAGGGTAGCTTTTTCTGAGAAGATTTCCGTTAAATATGAGAACTGCTTGTCTTGCAGGCCAAAGACTTTTGGTCAACAGAAATCAGAATCCTTGGTGTCTTTAGTCCGGTCTCTGTGAAGCCCAAATGTTGCAAATTATGTTAAGCTAGCTTCCAGCTGTAAGCTCTTATTGGAAAGTTCATGAACTTGCAAAAAAAAAAAGAAAAAAAAATTGGCCAAACTCTTACTTGGCAAGTTTTAAGATGGAGAATCTTGGGCATTGAAATCCAGTCATCTTAAAAGTTGCCAAGTTTGAAAAACACTGCTCTAGGGGAAGGATTAAAAAAACTCAACCAGGTCACAGTACTATTCAGAATTGGGTTATGTTGTTGTTGTACAAATTCCATATTGCTCCTTAATTTTTGTTTGAAGTAAACTCAAGAGGCTCAATAAAGAGCTGTTCACCGCCCTGAGTCCGAAAGGAGAAGGGCGGTATAGAAGTTTGAATAATAAATTTGAACCTTGAACCTGGTCATTTGTACCTCAGTTTAGAGGAGCCTTTCATTTATTTTCCCTTTTTTGTATCCTGTTTATATCTAAAATTGTTCCGAAAAGTCATTTTGTTCCTTAGACAGTTTGTTATCACATAGATCAGGCATATCCAATCTGCAGCCCACGGACCACATGTGGACCTAGCTTGTAATGCAGTTCCACATTATATAATAATAATAAAAAAAAATTAAATAAGAGTATTTTAAAAATGAAGTTTGTTATTTATATACATTAATTGTATTTCGTATGTGGCTCAGGCAAACCAAAAGATTGGACACCCATCATGTAGGCCTTTCAGTCTTGCACTAAAACACTTTTGTGCTGGGATTGGCATGTCCAGAATTGCAGCTTAAGGAGAGAAATTTAAGTCATTCTGTGCGATTCTCTGTTGTAAACAATATTCATCCTATTGTTGTGCAGTTTTCTTTTATTAGCCCATATGCTGGAGACTGCCAGTTAGGTTGCAAGTTGCTTTCAGTTTGACTCTTGGAAACCCACAAGCACAAACCTGTGTACATAAAATGAACAATGAAATGATCGGCATATAAATTTAATAAATAAATGAGTATTTATTTATTTATTTATTTATTAAATTTATTAAATTTATTTATTTATTAAAAATAGTATCTTGTGTGCTGTGTCTACATAAACATTTCCAAGGCAGCTCAACTCCTGAAAGTTTGCTGAACATTTGTACGTGGGTGTTTTTTTTTTTGGCAGTACAGAAACGTGAGAATTCACTTCGTTGCGTTTTGATTTAAAACTAACACTTCATTCAAAGAAGAGTTTGACTGCTGGTAACTACAGAGACACTTCCGTGCAGTTTTCTTGGCATTAAAGGAAACGGCTTCACTGATTTCTGGGATTTTCTGTTTCTTTATCACAGCCTTTGGATCTCCTAGTGGTCCCCCATCCAAGCATTTCCTTGGTTCTTTTGGGGAAACGTGGTCAACTAACTGCCGCCACCTGTTGTGGCATCTACACCCTTCCTAGGCCCATACATATGTTTACAAGAGCCACCCTCAGCGTCCAGAGGTTTGGGGGAGCTCCAATTCCCAATCCGCAGAGATCGAGTGCAACTTTTCTCCAGCTGAAAGTCTGTAAATCCTTCCATTCCCGCACTATAGAATAGAATAGAATTCTTGTATTGGCCAAGTGTGATTGGACACCCAAGGAATTTGTCTTTGGTGCATAAGCTCTCAGTGTACATAAAGAAAAAAAGTATATTCATCAAGAATCATAAGATACAACGCTTAGTAATAGTCATAGGATACTAATAATATCCTGTCAGAGCTGAAGAAGCTTCTCGGATGAGAAGCGAAACGTCTTCAAAAGAAGAAAAATCAAAGTCCATTTGCCTCCTGAAAAACAAAGCACCTCCAGCTTTGAAACTTTCCAGCAGCCACTAGGAGGCGCCGTAGCCACGCAGGCGCACCAGCAGGAGACCTGGCTCCGCCCAACGGCGCTGGAGAGACGGGGACGGCCCCGTCCTCCCCTCCGCGCGCGGCTCTGACGTCACTCGAGGAAGCGCAAGCCGCCGCCATGTCGGGCGCCGCAGATTCGCCATAATCCCCGTCCGGCAGCTTCTCCCGCCGCCATTCCAGAGCGGCCGCAATTAATATTTGTACGGGTCGGGGCCGGCTTTTTCCCTTCCTTTCTTTTTTTAAAGGCGCTCCCCGCCCTTCCAGGGACTCCGGAAAGGCGCATCGGCGGGCGGCGCTTTCCCCGAAGGGACGGAAGTGCGCCGAGCTTTCTTTTCCCTTCTCTTTCTTCGCAGTTCAAAAAAAAAAAAAAAGGAAACACCCGGATATTTTCTTCTTCTTCCCGCTCCGCAGCCCGGGCTGCCATGGAGTCTCCTTCGGCCGGTGAGTGGGGTTAAAAGGGGCGTCTCGAGCTCCGTCCGCGCCACAACTGAGGGGAAAGGAAGGAGGCACGCGGCATAGGGGCCCCGTGCGGGTGGTGGACCGCCACGCACTTCCGGTTCTGTGTCGACCGTGCGGGACTAATTGAGTGGCAAGCGGATCCGACGCTGTGGTCGAAAGGGAACCGGAAGTATCTATGTTCCCCCTTAGTGCGCAGACCTCTTTGGGAGGGGAATTTTTTTTATTATTTTCTGCTCCAAAAAAAAAAAAAAAAAACACTGGGACTCCCGTGCCCATCATTCCCAGCCTCCTTAGTCCATATTCAGGAGTCTGTCTAGCCTTTCAGACGTCCCAGGACAGACGACACACAGGTTTAAATCCGCCTCCCTTCCTCTGCTGTCCTTATTCAGCTGGAAAGGATTCCTCTCCCCCCCCCCTTCTTGTGGCGCGCGGCTTGCTGGGAGTTGGAGTCCGTCCCGTGGCATGCTGGGGCTTGAAGTCCGGCTCACCTGGACTGCAGGATGCAGCCTTCCCTCCATCATCTCTCCAGGATGCCCCCTTGGGAAAGTTCAAATTTGAGTCCTGCAAGGATAGTTGAGCTAATCCATTATAATGGTTTGGTTACACAGTCAGCCAAGGAGCTTAGATTGTATTTGGCTCATGTTTTATTTTCCAGCTGTTGAGTTTTTCCCCCAAAAAATCTGAGGTAGGCAGAGGGGGGGGGGAAATGGTCCTTTGAGAATTTCTTTCTTTCTTTTTTTTTTGAATTTTTTTTTTTGAATTTTTTAAACATAAACATAAAATACATCTTTTTAGAACGAAGCATTGATCCGGTCATAAATTGCTAACTCCTCTTTAACAACAACTTTTTTTCTAATCTCCACTAATTACCATTTTATAGAAAATAAAAAAAGAAAACAGAAAAATAAAGACTAACTCGTAATGATTTACTCAAAGCAATTACCTTTCTATTATTTCATCTGAAATCTTAATTTCCAAATAACACAGCTTAATATTTTACACAATTGTTTCCCTAAATTCTATCTATTTAATAATACCATTGTCCAAAAACCCGTTGCTTAAATCTTTAAATCCTAACCCAATATCATTTCATTTTCTTTTTTCTTTTTGCTTAGATAGATGTCGCTTAAAAATATAAATCATTACTATTATCATAAATATTTAAACAATATCTTAACTGTTGCTCCCAACATAATCATCTTCATTGCTGTTTATCTCAACATAATCATCCTAATCTTAACCATTAATCCCAGGTCCTTTGAGAATCAAAACCTCTTGAATGTCAAGCTTCAGAATGTATCACCAAAAAAAAAAAAAAAAATTCCTCATATCTCATTTACTGGATATTCATGTATGATGGTCGATGAACAAAATAAAAGTTTATTTTTTTTGCTCCTTAGACTTTAGGCAGTTATAGTATTAAAATCAGAATCATACACATATACAGTTATTCCTCAAGTTACAACTGTAATTTCGCTTAATAAGTCGTAATGGTCATCAAGCAGGACCGAAATTTACTACCTTTATTGCAATGTGCATGGCGGTCATTAAGTGAGCCTATTGTTTGTTATGGGGCAATTTTATTTTATTTTATTTATTTATTTTCATCAAGCATATCTTAGATCACAGATATAAGTATAAACGTGATTATGAAGACATGAAATAGATACGAATAAATGGGACATTAGGACAAGGGATGGTAGCAGAGGTGGGTTTCAGCGGATTTTGAACAGTTCTGGAGAACCGGAAGCGGAAATTTTAAGTAGTTCGGAGAACCGAAGTAAAAATTCTGACTGGCCCTGCCTCCATCTATTCTCTGCCTCTCAAGTCCCAGCTGATCAGGAGGAAATGGGGATTTTGCAGTAACCTTCCCCTGGAGTGGGGTGGGAATGGAGATTTTACAGTATTCTTCCCCTGCCACGCCCACCAAGCCACACTCAAAGAACCAGTAGTAAAAAATTTTGAAACCCACCACTGGACGGTAGGCATGTTGGTGCACTTATGCACGCCTCTTACAGACCTCATAGGAATGGGGTGAGGTCAACAGTAGAGAGTTTAAGGTTAAAGTTTTGGGGATTTGGGGAAGAAACCACAGAGTCAGGTAGTGCATTCCAGGCATTGACCACTCTGTTACTGAAGTCATATTTTCTGCAATCAAGTTTGGAGCGGTTCATTTTAAGTTTGTATCCATTGTGTGCTCATGTATTGTTGTGGTTGAAGCTGATGTAGTCATTGACGGGTAGGACATTGTAGCAGATGATTTTATGTACCATGCTTAGGTCGGACTGAAGCCGTCAATGTTCTAAGTTGTTTAAGGCCAAAAATTCAAGTCTGGTGGCATAAGGTATTTTGTTGCGAGCAGAGGAGTGGAGGACTGTTCTCGTGAAATATCTCTGAACTTGTTTGATGGTGTTAAAGGTATGGTTGCAGGCAATGGTGAAATGTAAAATTTGTTACTACTGGTTCTATGGGTGTGGCTTGGTGGGGGGGGGTGTAATGTGACTGGGTGGGCGTGGCCAACTTTTTTAAAAAAAACTTTTAAAACCATTTTTTCTCTTCAGCCGAAGAGGTTGTAAAAAAAATGCTTTTAAAAGCCCTCTGCCGATCGGGCAACTCAACTGGGATCGTCAGAGGCTTTTAAAAGAAAAAAAGCCTCTGCCATCAGGCAACTCAGTTGGGATCGTCAGAGACTTTTTTTTTTTAACTTTTAAAAGCATTTTTTCGGCCAAAGAGGTTGTAGAAAAAATGCTTTTAAAAATATTTTAAAAAGTTTCTGATGATTGCGTGGCTCAACTGGCAATGGGGGGGGGGGGGAGCAGGGATTTTTGCTACCAGATCTCCGAACCACCCGCCTCCATCGCTACCGGATCGGGCGATCCGATCCAAACCGGGAGCATTTCACCCCTGATTGCAGGATGTAAGCTGTTCCAAGCAAACTGCCTTTTGCGATTGACTGATGGTGATTTTGTCAGTGCCGATGGTGTTCAAGTGGTGCTCCAGATGTTTTGGGATTGCACCCAAGGCGCCTATTGGTACTACCTTTGCTTGCTTTTGCATCAGTCGTCTGCTGCAGTTCTTTGTGGTTTGTGATATTCTCCAGTTCTTTCTTCTCTTTTCTGCTATCTCCAGGTACTGCCATGTCCATTAGCCAGACTTTTTGTCTTTCTTATTGAGACAGTTGTTAAGTCTGGGACGTTATGTGGAAAGTGCATGTTGGTTTGAATTCTAAAGCCCCAGAACACTTTATCTTCTTTATTTTCTATTTGTCTATTTTATGGTCCTCCAGTTCTTGCTTGCAGGCAGATCAATAATATATTTATAGTATATTGCATATCTATAATAATGCTACTCTTTTGATAGATAATATAGATAGATAGATAGATAGATAATAATAGATAGATAGATAAAAAGACAGACAGAAAGAAAGAAAGAAAGAAAGAAAGAAAGAAAGAAAGAAGATAAAGAAAAAATAGAATAGAATAACAGATATGGAAGGGACCTTGGAGGTCTTCTAGTCCAACCCCCTGCTTAGGAAGGAAACCCTACACCACTTCAGACAAATGGTTATCCAACATCTTCTTTAAAACTCCCAGTGTCGGAGCATTCACAACTTCCGGAGGCAATTGTTCCACTGATTGATTGTTCTAACTGTCAGGAAATTTCTCCTTAGTTCTAGGTTTCTTCTCTCCTTGATTAGTTTCCACCCATTGCTTCTTGTCCTGCCCTCAAAAGGTGCTTTGGAGAATAGCTTGACTCCCCCTGAGATATTTTTTTCATCAGACTAGACATACCCAGTTCCAGAAATAAAAAGAAAGAAAGAAAGAAAGAAAGAAAGAAAGAAAGAAAGAAAGAAAGAAAGAAAGAAAGTATATATTATTTCTAGAAAGAAAGAAAGAAAATATATATTATTTCTAGAAAGAAAGTAAAAGAAAGAAAGAAAGAATATATTATTTCTAGAAAGAAAGAAAGAAAGAAAGAAAGAAAGAAAGAAAATATATATTACTTCTTTCTCCTCCTACTGTTGTCCTTAAAACTCAGGCACTGAAGTCGGCATAGAGCTGGAAAATATGTAATCCCTGAATTTGAGAGATAATATCTTCGCAGAGTGACCTTTTCTCTCTCCTCACTCACCCCAACAATCCAAACTAATAGTGATTCAGGCAAAGGAAAAACCATTTTATTAAGGGTATGCTCAAGTCTTTATATAGGAGTATATACATTTCATAGGTGTGAGAAAAGGCAATACACCCTTCAACTAGGTTGCATCTCTTTCTTTCCCACCTGGGTTTTGTTTCTTTCCTAACAATTGGACTTTAGCCAGGGACATCAATCTACAACCCTATTGTTCTTGAAAAGGCTCTGTTTTTTGCATATCAAAAGAAGTAGCTTTAGCTTAAAGGAGAAACTTCATTTCCCAACTTAAGTTTTGCTAAAATGCAAGTATCACCTTTCTTAAAGCGCTAATAATAGAGCCTAAAATTCTATGTAACTTTGTTTTCCCCACAACAATCCTGTGCGATGGGTTAGACTGAGAGTGAGTGAGAGAAAGAGAAAGGAAGAGACTGGCCCATAATCACCCAACCTTTCGGACCTCAGGGACCACTAAATTCATAATTTTAAATCCCACGGACCACTAATATGATCTGCCTAACAACCAGCTGGGTGTCTGTGGCTAGGTGGTCATGTGACTGGGTGGGCGTGGCCAACTCGATGTCACTCACATCAAGGGACACCTCACCGGCTTCTACTCACACCTCTCCTGTCAGCCACTCCTCGCCTCCCCTCCCGGGTTCTTTAGGACCCCAACAGGAAGCAGTTGTTGGAGCTAAGCAGCCACCATGAGAAAGAGTTGGCAAAAGAGCTCAGTTCAAATTGGATCTGGTCGAGAGGGAGGCTCAGCAGAAGCACCTCACTGAGGACTAGGAGCATAGGCTTTCCAAGCAGAGGGAAGACCTGCAGGAGTGCAAGGCCAGGTACCGGCG